GCCACTCCCCATCAGCCTTGTGCTCCAGACCCCTCACCAGCTTTGTTGCTCTCCTCTGGACATGTTCCAGCAAGGCAACATCTTTCTTGTAGTGAGGGGCCCAAAACTGAACACAGTATTCGAGGGGCAGCCTCACCAGCATCGAGTACAGGGGCACGATCACTTCCCTGCTCCTGCTGGCCACACTATTCCTGATCCATCCCTTGATTAAACCCCAACTGCCTTAACAACAGTTTCCCAATATGCTAGGAACTACCATTTTGTGTCTTTGTTCCCATCTACAGAATTATGATCTATAGTGAGTAAATTATAAGGCTAAGCCATGCTAGCATCCCTCCTGCTTATATTCATCCCTGAGTGAAACATCCTCTTCTCACTGCCGGAGTGGAGGCTGTGATAACACTGATCGTTATCTGTGAGTTGGCTTCACCCTTCAGGTTCTGAAATAAGTGGCTTTTATGGGCTTGAGCTGTGTCATGGTTTAACCAAAGAGGGAGGTGCCACATAGCAGACTTGGTGCTGTCAGCAATAAGAAAACAGAAGCATTTGGGGTTGTTCGCAGCAAGCCCTTTATGCACAAACCCCCTTGCTTAGCCCCTACGTAGCGTGAAGCCTTGCGGGCAGCTGATATTTTTGCCTTTGTTTTTGGGTAGTGACATAGCATTTGCCCTCTCCATGACAACTCATTTCCCACACATTTAAAGATGAATCGGAGCACCTGGCTTTAGCTCTGCAGGGCTGTGGTTCACCATCTAATCATCAGACCTTTCAAGACCAGAAAAAGAGTGGTACAATATGGCTTTCAGGCAGTCTTAAAAAAAAAATCCAACCCTAAAGGCTTTAATCTTAAACATAGCAATACCTCCGTGAATTCCAGCTTTTGATCTGGGGCAGAATGTGTTTCCAAATTCATTTCATGCTGTGCTGTTGCAGTGAATATAACCACTTCACCCAGGGGTCCTACTCCTAGACCTTCTGAGAAACTTCAGAAAGCAGCCTTCAAAGTTAGGGCAGGCAATTTCCACTCTGCTCCCGACCCTGCCACAGAGCCACTCTGCGATGGACCGGCTCTGTACTTAAAAGTAGTTTGGAGATTTAACTGGTTGTGAAGGCAGCGACTTCCTCATCACATGTGGTTGCAGTCACTCCAGGATGAAGATGCTTACACTGGTACAGATCATTTGGATGCAGTAGATGCAAATGTGCGGTGAGCTAGCGATGCCATACGTTAGTATGACCATGCTTACCCTTGGGCATTAACGGCACAACTGTGGGTGTGTTTAGACAGCTTGATCTGCTCCAAAAACAATCCAAAAAACATGCATTCATGTGCACCAATCTCCAAAATGCTTCAGATTCAAGTTCAGAGTCTTGAGCTTTGGTGTCTTGAAATACTGGGTCAGCACTGGAGCAGACATGACTCCAGGCACTATGCAAACATAAAAACCAGCCAGAAATAAGCACTGAGCAGAGCTGTGCCCAAGGTGTGCACGAACCTCCCTCCCAGCCCAAGCCACGCAGACGAACCACTCTGCAGCCCCACACTCCCTTTTGATCCTATTCAGTCTTAGTTATTGTTACATTAATTCCCAGCAGCACTTCCAGAGGTTTCCCAGCACACTGCTGAACATTTTTCAGCCTGGTGAGTTCCTCCCACAAGGGGATAAAAAAAGGCCCAGAAGCACCCAAATACAAGTGCTTCACCTTCACAGCAGCTGTAATTCCATCACACTGGATGCTCCTGGCCATGCTGGGTTGTAGGAGATGTCATTTAGGCAGAGCCCAACCCATTGGAAACAAAAAAAAAAGGCGGGGGGGGGAGCTATTAGTGGGCATGCTGTTTCTGTAAGGCGTCATGGTATTATTTTGAACAGAAATGAGCTGAAATACAGATTTTTTTTTCTTGTATTGGGTGTGTGAGCATTTGATGAAATATTGAAACTTTTCACTATTTTAGTGGGTGGAAAATAACTGAAAGGCCTTTTTTTCCTAATGAAAAAATGCCTCAA